TTTAATACACACTAAACTACTACACAAAACCCTACTACTACTCTACCCCCCACCACTAGTGAAAATTGAAATGGCCTCAAAATATTGCACCTCACTTGACTTTATACCCTCTGTTCCATGTTTGTTTGAAATTTGGTTTAAAAAGCCCTAGAGCGAAACGTTGCCACAATAAAATGTCCATTTTTCACTTTGTCCTTTATTTTAAATATTGCGGAAAATTTCCCCAACTTTATTAAAGTATTGATATATTTAAAAAAACAAGGGGCCCAAGACTGATCCGGGGAACGCCACTTGTTACAGATTCCACCGATTTTTAAACCCCATTAGGGACACTCCTGTTTCCCTGTCTGACCCATACTCACCACGAGAGCATTTTTCCCCCCCAATCCCTGAGCTTCGCTTTTTTAACAGTTTTGGGCGGAACTCATAAAAAGCCTTACAAAAAAACAAGAAAAATAATATCAAATTCTTTATCGGGGGTCAACAGCCTAAAAACTTTACTGAAGAAAGTTAATAAATTGTTAGAAAAACCCGCCCTTTGTGAATCCATGCTAAATATCATTAATCAAGCTTTGCTTTCGGATGGTTTTATATCCGGTTTAAAATTGACTTAAAATTTGTAAATTTGGGGTCTTCTTAGGGGGCGGAATTTGACCGTAATGCTGTCCCCTTTTTAAAAAAATAAATTACATTAGCCATCTTCCCACATACAGACATACAACCTGTTTGAAGAGAAAAAAAAAAAATTTTAGTTAAGGGGTTTTCACAAGTTCCATTTTGCATTCCTTAAGAACCCTTGAAAAAACTCGTCTGGACCCCGACTTATTTTGCTTCTTTGGGCTTTTTGTTTCAAAACCTTTTAAATTGACTGTATGTTACATAATTATTTCCTTCGGCCCCTACAAAAATTAAATTTGCGGGATAGGGGTTGGGTCTTCCTGTGTAAAAACCGGAAAAAAATAATTATTTAAAATCGAGCCATTTCTTTCCCTTTTTTTGTCGTAGATCCCCATAGTTTTTTTTTTGGGGGGGCCCTATCTTATCTCTAACTTTTTTTCTATAGACCTGGAAAAAACTTTTTGGTTATTTTTTCGAATCCTTAAAACTTAATTTATATTTCCCTTTTTAGTTTTCTTTTTCCCCTTTTTAAGCCCCTCTTAATGTCAATATACTGTTTCATAAAGACCCTCCCCCTTTTTTGATACCCTATAAATTCCCTTCTTATCCCCTATAGTTTTTAGCCTATTATTCTCCATTTTGGGTATTTCTTTTTGATCAATTTCTTTAACTGGATAAGGAAAGTAAGCGAAAAAAAAAAATCAAAACAGTAACACATTACTTCCTTAAAATTTTTCATCATTAGTTATAGGATGTAAAATATTTTTTGTAGGTGACTGAATAAATGAAGAATGGGTATAAAAAACCACCATTAGTGAAATGCTGTAAACGGGGCCTCCCTGTATTTATCTTTTTTCCTTAATACTATGTGTTATTCCCGTTTTTTTTTTTGAAATACAGTGGTACCTCGGGTACGAACTTAATTTTTTCCAGAAGGCTGTTCGAGGCCGAACCAAACGAATTGTTCCCTAAAGGGGGTAAAGTAAATTAGATTAATCCATTTTAGACCTCCAAAAATACACTTCAAAAAAACTTACCAAAAAACCTTACAAATTGTTTTATTTGAGCTGTTTGTATCCCGAGGTTCCACGTGCGGTTTTTATCAAATTTTTTTTGCGATTGGAATACAAGTTTTGTTGCTGTATTTCATAATAAATTTTAATACATTATTTGTCTTTACATGGATGGTTAAAAATTTCCAGTTCTTTAATATGTTTGGTCATTTATATTTATTCTCGTAGTAATACTTTTTTGGGAAAAAGC